GTTTGGCAGGCCTAGCCTGGGCTTGAACCTGCCACCTTTGGTGTATATGGCTGGTGCCCTAGCTGCTTGAGCTACAGGCGCTAAGCCTAAACATTTTTAAAATGCACATTCTATATACTATAAAAAGTTTATCAAACTTCTTGAAAAAATTGTAATTAAAGCTAAAAGATACATCTCATACCAGGAGATATGTGCAACTCACATAGTGCACAAAGATCACCAGCCAAAATTCAGGAGTGCCTATATGACAATAAGAAAAAACATCCTAACAGAAAAACAGGCAATGGATATGTGCCAGAAAAATCACAGCAGAAATCAAAGTGGTGAAGAAGACGCTCCCCAGTGGGTATTACATAGCAGTTCCATGAACTAGAGGCATAAACCTCAGAAACAATGCTGAGTAAAAACAATCTGATGTCATTTACACCACGTTTGAAATAAGTGAAAGAACGTTACACATTTTAAATAAATACTCACACAGTCAAGGCAACAGAACCAAGCTTGGGAATGAAACACCAACCCTTGGATAGCAGTTACAGTACGGTGTTGTGCCAAGCCAGATTATACTGGTTTGCCTGAGCAAATTCTGCACATCTCTTATTAATTCCATGTTCAGTTGTGTTAGAACCTTGAAATCTGCTGTGATGGGGATATTTACACCACAGAAATTGGCAGCCACTATCAAGTCCAGATTCTTCTTTCCCTTCCCTGTCCCCAAGGGACAGGATATCATTCTCAACAGAGCAGAATGTATTTGGGAAAGAGTTTATAAGTGGCTTCAATGTTATAGCTTCAATATTCTTAAGTTTCAAAAAAATTCTAAAGCAAATATAGCAGAAAGAAAGGCTCTGACGGGGCTGGAGGTGGTTCATGGGTTTTTAACATTACTTTATGGCTTTTTGCATTTTACAATCTTGTAAAAAAAAAAAAGAAGAAAATAGTCAGCATAAAACCATTTCTTTTTGCCCCCTTTAATTTTAGCGATTTAAGTCTTGCCTAGTTGGCCACGATATTATTATGTGGAAAAACCTGGTCCTTCACTAATCATAGAAACTTTAAGAATTATTTTAAGCCCCAACCATAGGCAGGCCAGATAGCTGTATCTTTGAAATCAATTGATGTAAGGTATATCATAAGGATTCATAAGCAGCATTAACATAAAAAGTCACATAAATACTCCTACTCAACCAAATATAATAGTAACAAATACATATGGGCTCCAAATTTAGATTCTAGGTTTAAGAGAAGGAAATAAAAATGAAAGACAAAACACTATAGACAATTCAACTGTAAAAGTAAAACAAGAAAATAGTTTTCAAAAGTGAATGGTATTAGAGATTTAATAAAACTGAGTGTTCAAAATGGACTAGATTGGATTTCTAGATCTATGTCCTTGCACAAAGGACTTTCTATACTGTAAGACTGATTTCTCATCTAGAAAATGTAGTTTCTGTGCAATTTTAAATTGTATATAAAATTGCACACCAACTTTATGGTCACCTTGTGTGTGTATATAGTATACACACAAGGTTGGACAATTAAGTTAGTGAATTCATCCTAGAAAAAGTGCTACGTATCTTCTTGCTGAATATCACTACCATCGCCTTTGAAGTATTCTCCTTGGGAAGCCCCAACACCAGTGCCAGTCCATATTTTCTAGGATGAGTTTGTGAACTTCCTTGTCAGACCTCGTATGATACTCTGATGGCCATTCCAGAGAAAGAGTTCCAAAATTGCTCCCCCCTTTTTTGAAACAGAGTCTTATTCAGTTGCTCTGGGGTTGAGTGCTATGGAGTCATAGCTCATGGCAACCTCAAACTCCTGGGCTCAAGTGATCCTTCTGCCTCAGCCTCCCAAGTAGCTGGGACTATAGGTGCCCACCACAACACCTGACTAGTATTTCTACTTTTAGTAGAGACGGGGTCTTGCTCTTGCTCAAAGTGGTGTCAAACTCCTAAGCTTAGGAGATCTACCACCTGCCTCGACCTCCCAGAGTATCAGGATTACAGGCACGAGCCACTGTGTCCGGCCTCCAAAACTGCTTTGATAGGTGGACTAGGTGCTGGGGCTGGTGCATAGCTTCCCAGGGGGAGTACTTTGAAGGTGACCATAGTGATATTCAGCTCTGAGATATGTAGCACTTTTTCTAATGAGTTTTCAAACTTATTGTCCTACCTCATATATGTGTGTATATATATGCATCCTATCTACCTCCCAGAGCTGTTAAGAAGATTAAATGAGATGATGCCTTCATAGGGAATATACCATTGTCATCAATGGAAGGGACAGGCATGAACACAATCACTTGTAATTCTGCCATTATCCTGATGCCTCACATATCATCAGGGTTCTCATTCCCTCAATTCAGGTTATTTTAGACAAGACTTTCAGGTTCAATGAACATCAAGTAGAAAAGAACAGAGAATCGATTCAGAAACAGAAAGGTCTTTTCAGTCATCTATCTTCTGCAGATGGGACAGACTGCAAAGGTCTCTTACTAACTCCTTCTACTCTATCTTTAAATTAGGGGACACATGAAGATTTACAGACCAGGCAGCATAAAACCCTTCTGGGATAAGCTTCACGAACCATGGCCTGAAAAGCTGGGCTCCGCTCCCGCAGGAGGGCACAGGGCTAACGGCCTGAGGTTTGGCATCAGAGAGGCCCAGATGATTCATATAAAGTGATAGCGCATCTAAAGCTCTATGGTCTCTGGTGCGGAGTGAGCGCTCTATAAATACACAGCACCATCAGCTTCCAGCCAGACCACAAAAGCCCTCTGCCTCTTTCTGGGTTATAGGGCCATTAGTGGGCTCTAGGAGGAGAGGCCAGGCAGGGGCTTGCAGGATTTTATCAGCATCTGCTAAACGGGGGCTGCTTTTCCACACACACATTACTAAGGAACGTACAAATCTGGATTCTTCAGTCTCTTTGCCTTTTCTCTATTTTCTTATTAGACAGTGTTTCTCAGCCATGGTTGCATATTACAAATACCTGAGGGTCAGAATACCTGGAGGTAGGATCTAGCCATCGCTTTTTTTTTTTTTTTTTGAGACAGAGCCTCAAGCTGTCGCCCTGGGTAGAGTGCCATGGCATGAGAGCTCACAGCAACCCCCAACTCCTGGGCTCAGGCAATTCTTTTGCCTCTGCCTCCCAAGTAGCTGGGACTACAGGCGCCCACCACAATGCCTGGCTATTTTTGGTTGCAGTCGTCACTGTTGTTTGGTGGGCTGGGCTGGATTCGAACCTACCAGCTCAGGTGTATGTGGCTGGTGCCTTAGCCACTTGAGCCACAGGTGCTGAGCCAAGCCATCGTATTTTTTAAAAAAGCTTCCCAGGTGATCTCAGGTTGAGAAACCCTGATTCAGAATATATGAACTGTCTTCCAAAGTCTACTGGATCAAAGGAGACAAAAATCCTGTCTTAACCCTGGCATTTCCTACATCCTGGGCTTTGAGAATGAAAGGATAAATTCATTCAAGTTAATGTGTCTCCCAGAGATCAGGTCATGCTGGGGCTTAGGGATTCAAGTGGAGCAAAGGATCCTTCTCTCAAGGAGCTCACATTCGCCAATTTTATAAAGCCAAGATGGGTAGGATTTGTCTTGCATTACAGTTAAGTCACAAACTAACAGGGCAGTATAGAATTTTATTGATAACAAAGTCAAGATCACTGCTGGTTAGTATTTTGGTGCTTACCCTGAGCTGGCACTTTGGGTGTATCAGCTCACTGAAGCTTCACAGTAACCACATGAGGGGGATTCTCCTATCCTTTCCATTCTTTCATTCAACACAAGTTTGAGTATCTCCTATGGGCCAGACACTGAGCAGTAACACAACAGTTCCCGTTCACGTATAGCGTTCCAAGTTGGGGGGGGGGTTGGGGGAGAAACACTAGACACGACCGAAAAGTCAAGCACAGAGCATGTTAGAAATTGACAAATGGCACAAGGCAAAGAAGAAATAGAGGAAGAAAAGGGGTATGTGTGTACGCCTCAGGGAAAAAGCAGGATTGAGCAAAGATTTGACATGAGGGAGAGACTATTTCAATAGACACTCACCCAGGACACACACCTGGCTTAGCTGGGATGCAAACCCACATATCTGAGCAGTGGCATCTGCGCCCCTACCCTGCCTACTAACTTGTCTTCTGAGCAGCATCATTATAATAACTTATTTACTTGCTCCCATGCCTTTCAGTTCCTTATCGGTCACGATCACTATTAAATTTCCTAGTCTAGTACCTGTTGCCATGGGAAATACTTAATATATGAATTATTGTAAATCATTAATTAATTACATCTTACGTGTTATGACAAAGTATTTATTGTGTGTTACCACGTCTGGCCGCTTCCCAGGCAGAGGAAAACATAGGGAAAATCTGGTGTTAACTGGGGCTGCAGGAGACTAAGCAAGCTTGTACTTTCAGATGTCCTGTTCCTGTCCTGTTGTGCCCTGCTAGGCCGAATAGGTCTCTTCTGAGCCAGGAGGATGGAAAGGGAGAGAATATTGAACAAATGTGAGACTCATAAGATGACGAGGATGCTTCTAGGGAGAAAACTTCATGGCACCATAGCCCACAAAAATTTATGAAGCTGAATCAGGGATTACGGGTAACATTTTCTTAGGCCACATTCACTTAAGAAACAGTTCACCATGTTCTTTGTGAGAATAATAGTTTATTTATTTATTTTTTTTAAGAGATAGGGACATCCCCTGTTGTCCCAGCTGAGTGCAGTGGCATCATCATAGCTCATACAACCTCAAACTCCTGGGTTCAAGTGATCTTTCACCTCAGCCTCCCGAGTAGCTAGGACCATGGGTGTTCACCACCACACCCAGTTAATTTTTAAATTTTTTTTTTTTAAGAGATGGGGTTTTTCTATTTTGCCGAGGCTGGTCTCAGGCCATCCTCCCACTTTGACCTCCTAAAGCACTGGGATTTTACAGGCATGAGCCACCACCACCACACCCGGCCCAATCTTTTGAATATTTACTTACCTATTGAAGTGATAGATGTCCTGTATGTTTCCAAAGAGGGCTAATCTTTCTTCAGTCCCCAGGGGAAGTTTTGTTTGGTCCCTGATACAGTCAAGGTAATCCTGTAAAATCAACGAGAAGGATGCTTTAAAAACTTCTATTCTTTTACAAGTCATCTTTAATTATTCTACATGACTTCCATATCTGCTTCAAGTGATTATACTAATGTACTCATAACTCATTGATTTGCTTTCTTATTGATGAATATAATACTTACCTATTTGTAGAACATGGAGTTTTAATAAGGAGAAAGACTGTGGGATAAGGCTTCTACTCCCCAAGTGTATTAGACTTGCAAGGGTGTCCAACCTGAGGCCTCCAGGCCACACGCAGATTATTTGAGGCCTGTTTTGCTTATCCAGGGTGCCAGTGTCAGATATTGCAAATAGTATACATGGGGCCTTTCTTTTGCTCACAGCTTTCGTTACTGTTTGTGTATTTAATGTGTGGCCCAAGACAAGTCCTCTTCTTCCAATGGGTGGCAGAAAAGAAAAAAGGTTGGACACCCTGTTTAGAGCTTCCCTTGACGGCTGATGTGGAAGGACCCTCGCTCTGATACTGTCAGAGTTTTGGCCTGACAACATCATCTACTGTTTCCTTGAATTATTTATATGATAAAAAACTACTCTAAAATTCGTCTAAAGGAAAACCAGAAATAAAAATTCTGCAATGGGACAGAATTGTTTTCAACATAACCTTTAAGTCAGAAAAGTTGCTAAAGAATCAAATTGTTCATCAACTACTGATTTGGGGAACAAAAGTGTTTTTAAAAAATAAGCACCTAATTCACTTATGCTAACAGGCTATGTTAATGAGCCATGGAAAACTCTGCCGTGATTTGACAGGTGTTAACAGAGAACTGGCTCCCATAGGCATCTAATGTGGTTTGAGACCCACAGTGGGTTAAACCCACGTGGCTGGGAAGCTATTTGCACTGCTGAGAGGGGAGAGCGGCCTCCCCCCATCTGCTGAAGAGTTCATAACTGAGCGGGCCCCTTTCCCCCAGCAAGGCTTGAAAAAGGACTCTGTAGGAGGCAAGAAGACAATAAAGGAAAAAGTGAAAACAGCTGAAATAACGTAAAATAAAAAATAAACACAGTCCCCCGGCCCGGCTGCATGGCGCAGCATGGCTGCCTACCAAATGCAACCTGGCTGGCCAGCCAGGCTCCGGAGGAAGTGGCCCTGCGAGAAGTCAGCCAGGCCTGGAAACCCCAGCACCGCAGCTGCAGTCGGTGGCCAGCAGCAAACACCGTCACGTGTAGGTGCAGCCAGCGAAAGGAGCGGAAATTCTAGACCTTCAGATAATTGTTTCTTACACATTTTACTAATCCACCTTCTCTCTGGCTCGCTCTTCATGCTCCTCAGTGAACACAGGCGGGGTGGCGGCGTTTCCTTTCACAAGTAGCACACTTCACAGTTTGCAGCAAGTGCTCATTCAAGCCCTTTTATACTAAAATCATTGTCTTGCAGGAACCAATGTTCTTTTTTTTTTTGAGACAGAGTTTTTGCTGCCCTCGCTAGAGTACTGTGGCATCACAGCTCACAGCAACCTCCAACTCCTGGGCTTAGGTGATTCTCTTGCCTCAGCCTCCCGTGTAGCTGGGGCTACAGGCACCCACCACAACGCCCGGCCATTTTTTGTTGCAGTTTGGCTGAGGCCAGGGTTGAATCCACCACCCTCAGTATTATGAGGCCAGCATCCTACCCACTGAGCCACAGGCACCGCCCTGTTCATTTTTTTTTTTTTTTTAAACAAGCTTTGTGGTAACAGCTTTTCTTCTTAAGAAAGTGGTCATCTCAGTAAGAAACTAGATTTACAAGTTTTAAGGGTAGTTGGCACTAAAACCTCCCATATCTGGGCCTAATCTTACTATTGTAAATGGAATAATCCTAAGGACCTTAAGAACCTGCTAATGCTGAAATGTGAAAAGCTAAATGTGGCTACAACTGAATAATACACTCCCCGGGGGAAGGAAAGTATCCATTGGTGTTTCTGTTAAATTACACATGGTATAAAAGGATGGACTAATGGTCAACTTGCATTGAATGATTTTTTTTTTTTTTTGAGACAGAGTCTCACTCTGTCACTCTGGGTAGAGTGCTGTGGCATCATAGCTCACAGCAACTTCCTCAAATTCTTGGGTTCAAGCCGTCCTCCTGCCTCAGTCTCCTGAGTAGCTGGGACTACAGGTACTTGCCACAACACCCAGTTCTTTTTCTTTTTTAAAAAGTAGATAAGGGGGCTCGGTGCCTGTGGCTCAAGTGGCTAAGGCACCAGTCACATACACCTAAGGTGGTAGGTTCAAATCCAGCCCAGGCCTGCCAAACAACAATGATGGCTGCAACCAGAAAATAGCCAGGCATTGTGGCAGATGCCTGTAGTCCCAGCTACTTGGGAGGCGGAGGCAGGAAACTCGCTTGAGCCCAGGAGTTGGAGGTTGTTGTGAGCTGTGATGCCATGGCACTCTACCCAGGGCAACAGCTTAAGGCTCTGTCTCAAAAAAAAAAAAAAAAAAGGGAGATAAAGGATCTTGCTCTTGCTCAGGGTGGTCTTGAACTTCTGAGCACAAGCAATCCACCTGCCTTGGCCTTCCAGAGTGTTAGGATTACTGGCATGAGCCACTGTGCCCAGGCAGTGAATGCTTACATTTAACAGAAGACTTTGCCAGACACTTTAGAAGGATACACAATATACAAAAGTGAAACAGAAGGATCCTAATGGGCATGGTCCACAGCGACCTGGAAGACAGAGGTGGGGCAGGGGTGACTGCTGCACCCCATATCCACTTGGCTGGCCTCAGAGGCTTCTGCAGTGAGGCTTAAGAAAGAATGAACAATCCTTTTTCTCACTTCAAGTGCGAAGCCTGGTCACTTGCAGAAACCTGATACTAAATTCTTCATGTGAGAGAAAGATTTAGTTAAGGGGCTTAAAGAATTTCATCTGGGGTTAGAGACAAAGAACCATGGCCTGCTTCCAACAAATGATGGCCCATCTCCAACGGAAGGAGTTTCAAAACCCTCAAAGTCTATGGTAGAGAAACTAGATTTTACAAGCTGCTTATTTTCAGAAATTGTTGAGAAAATAGATCGTTAGGAGTCCAAATTTTTGTAGGCCGCTCTAGAAAACAGATCAAAGTCATCTGGCCATAACTTGCTCCCAACTGATCATAAATAAGTCTTTTAAATATGATACTTTAACCCTAACCAGTTAACTGAAAACTACTGTAACCTTCACTGTATTAGCAGCCGCAATCATCTGTAGCCAAAATGAGAGGTTTGGAGCCCAGTGATAATGACAGTTCATTCCAGGCTCAAAATGACAGAGTAAGAACACCAGTGAAATGTATTAGAGCCTGTCACACTGCTTGTTAATTTTATTGCCTTCATGTCAGCACCTATGGCTACCCTCCTCTTAACAATGAAGGATCAATTTAAAACTTTTGCAATGAAAATTGTTCCTCCAAGAAGATCAAAGGATTCACTCTACTTTGGGGAAGGAGGGAGGGGAGCAGAGAGACAGAACGAAAAAGATTTTCAGCATTCAGATGACTTTCTACTTTGCAATCTGAAATTTCCCCTGGGGTATTTATTGTCTACTCAGTTTATGTCCTGAAGGTTTCCACCATTATGAGATTTGCATGTAAGTTTCTTCCTCTCATTAACTTTTTCTTTCCTTATAATGTCCATTATTGACTATCTCCAAGTGGAGCCTAAGCTGGTACCATCCAAAGTGGGTTATATGGACAGGAGCCAGTCTGCAAACTGTTGGCTCAGTGGTGTCCACCTCCAGGTGAGCACAGATATGTGAAGTCAGCATGTAGGAGCTGTTACAGTAGAGCTTGACCAAGTTATTAAGCATAACTTAATATCTGCTCAAGCTCATAATACATTTTATTGCATTTTGCATATCTTATTCTTTTTTGTTTGGTTTTCCTAGTATTTTTTAAAATTCTTCATTGTATTTTATAAAAGAATCAGTGTGTGACAGACCTGAATAAAACACACACACACACACACACACACACACGTCCCTCACTACAGATAGCCTGAGAAACCCTGGTCTCGAGAACCACCCATCGGGGATCCTGCAGAAAGTACAGCACAGGAAGTTCTTTCTTTAACGAGAGCTGAGACAGAAGGCAAATCCAGCACCCTTGGCAGATTGCCTTATTTCTAGAAGATGCCCTGAAAGGACTCTCTCTTCTTCCTCTGATATCACATTTTAGATGTGGCCAGGCACAGTGGTTCATGCATATAATCCTAGCACTCTGGGAGGCCAAGGCTGTTGGATCACCTGAGCTCACAAGTTCTAGACCAGACTGAGTAGGAGTGAGACCCCCTCTCTACTAAAATAGAAAAATTAGCTGGGTGTTGTGGTGGGCACCTGTATTCCTAGCTACTTGGGAGGCATCAGCAAGAGGATTGCTCAAGCCCAAGCATTAGAGGTTACTATGAGCAATGATGCCATGTCATGCTACCCAGGGTGACAGAGTGAGACTCTGTCTCAAAAAATGAATGTTTTAAATTTATAACCTATTTAATAAGGAAGATGAGCCATAATGAAAAAGTTACTTTAATTATAACACATTTTATATCCTTTCTACCTTTTCACTTCTTGCCCATACCTACTGTAGAAACAAAACATACAAGGTCCTGCTCCTGTTTCTACATCCTCTTACTCATATTTCAAAATTCCAGCTAGTGGTTTTAGGGGTCACTGTTTTTAGTCTAGCTTCTGTTGTTACTGCTTCTAAATGCTAGGCCCTCTGATAAGACTCTTATGATTTCTTGTTTGTTTTTATTTGGAGGAAGTGCCTTTTTCTGTTTTTCCAACCCCCCTCCCTTTCCCAGAAAGTAGTCATCTGTTTATCCAAAAACTTGCCTTCTAAATTTCACATATGACATTGGGATGCCTCTGAAACTAGAATAACTTAGGTTCATATGTCAATTTACAGTTTAAAAGCACATTCGTTCATAGAAACTCTCCTTCCCTTCTTTTTGAGAACATAAGAACATGTGCTAGGATCTGTTTTACATGTTAGAAATGTTAAAAGTGAATAAA